AATTTAAAAACAATTCAATTTTTTCTCATTTTAATACCTCCATGTTTCTCTAAACATTAAAGAGCATGAATGAATATTTGCAATTCCCTGTATACGAATAATAATGGAAAATGCTAGGGGTAAATAAGATAACCCTGATGGGAATAGAGAGGAATATCAAAACTAATTATTTCCGGTAGTCAGAAATGGATATGAAATTTTGAAACGAAAATTCTCGGAGAGCAGCGTCAAGTAAAGCTGTGTCAAATAAGGGTTGCTTTGTGGAAAGCCAGTTTAAGAAGTAATGAATTACGAATTTTGAGTGAATTCCGTTCCACCCCCGTTTATAGATTAATTTTATTATAATGAAATGAAAAATTATTTAATCAGTGCTACTTTATACAAACAGAGGAAGCTTTCTATGACTTTCTCATTCATAATAAGAATCTGATTCAAAGATACAATACTTATCAAAAAATAAACAATTATTTATGTGTGAGAATGGGCGGTGGATCAATATCATATACATATTTTTAGTTCCTTATGAAATGAAACACCCAGTAGATTTGAGTCACTCGTAAACCGAAGTGTTCAAAAGTTCATAAAGCTCATAAAATATGTATAAAGGGCTTAATTCCCCATTTCTTTCCTTTGTGGTATGGCTTAACAAATACCATAGACGACAATTAACTTACTTTTTATGTCTCATCACACAACGTTTCATCAAAATGCACATTATAAAGCGAAACAGAATAATCCCGTGTATTAAAAAAAAAACTCGGCGTTAAAATTCATAACTGGGGCTTTTAATATTTCATGTGGTAAGCAAAATGCAATTCAATCTGCCCGAATTAATTACATATTCATTCTCCTTGTGGGAAAAATGTCAACAGCTGCAGTATCGAAACTTCCAATTTAGACCGTTGTTTCGCCTCAAATCTTCTGGTTAGGGAGGAAGAGCATACTCGCAGGGTTAGGAATTAATTTTCTTTCCCAGCAACTTTATTACAAAAAAGGTTGTAGGCTAGCGAGATGTTACCCGAATTTTAATCACAAATTAAGAAAATAAACGATTGTTACGGCGAAAATTCAGTAAAATGATCGTTCGTTAGGTATACGTTGTTAAAACGAACGGTAGCATAACAAAAAAATATTATTTCGCTGCAAATTTTACGATTTTAACGTAATGTTACGAGTTTAATGTAATTTTACGAGTTTAATGTAATTTTACAAGTTTAATGTAATTTTACAAGTTTATTGTAACTTTACAAGTGTAACGTAATTTTGCAAGTGTAATGTAAGTTTACAGATTTAATGTAATTTGACAAAATAATGCAATTTTACAAATTTAATTTAATTTTAGGAGGTAATGTAATTTTACAAAATTAATGCAGTTTTACAGCAACTATATTAAATTTTACCTAAAATTTACGAGGGGTAAAAACATAATTTCACTGTATTACTACATATAACGGTACCGTGAACATTCAGTAAAATTATAGTTTTTAGGTATATACCTTATTAAAAGTGTAGCATAACGAAAAAAAAAATATTTCACCGCAGTCCATGATTTTACAACTTTAATACAATTTTAAGAGTTTAATGTAATTTTATAAGTTTAATGTAATTTCACAGGTGTAATGTAATTTTATGAATTTAATGTAATTTTACAAGATAATGCAATTTTACAAATTTAATATAACTTTACGATGTAATGTAATTTTACAAAATAATGCAATTTTACAAATTTAATTTAATTTTACAAGGGAAAGTAACTACAAAATTAATGGAATTTTACAGCTACTATATTAAATTTTACTGGGGGTAAAAAAATTGTTTCACTGAATTACTACATTTAAATATTGTTTAGTAAAATTATCGTTTATAGGTATATACGTTATTAAAAGTGTAGCATAATGAAAAACATACAAATATTTCACCGCCGTCAATGATTTTACAACTTTAATACAGTTTTACGAGTTTAATGTAATTTTACAAGTTTAATGTAATTTTACAGGTGTAATGTAATTTTACAAATTTAATGTAATTTTACAAGATAATGCGATTTTACAAATTTAATATAACTACGAGGTAATGTAATTTTACAAATTTAATGCAATTTTACAAATTATATTAAATTTTACTGGATTACTATATTAAAATATTTACGCTGGAATATATCGAGAACAGTTAGATCTGCGGATTAGAAACAAATTTTTATACAATGTAATTTTTACTAATTGACAGGCTTCAACGTTAAAAATAAAATTTTCACCGGCATCGGACGTGTCCCACAAATCGATAACATTCACAAACCAACGAACCACTTAAGTTTCGGTCTCTGGACACTGTCCCATTCCCCACATGCCATTGTTTTATTCCCAATATTTCACCGGAAGACTTGGGGAGTGGAAAGTGAAAACGGTCGTTTGTGGGTAAGAAAACTCCCCCTAAAAATATTATAGACAGAGCTTTTTATCTCAAGTGGGCAGCTATGGACACTGTCAGTAGGAAATATTTATCTTCAGTTACAAGACATCACAGCTTAGATGGATGAGGACGTTGAGGTGGCTTATTTAAATTGATTTCTATACAGGATGGTCCACCTATCCATCATAGACGCTAGAACACCAAAACAAAAAGTTATGAACAATCTATTACTGACGCACGACGTGCTGCGTCTATATACAGGGTGATTGTAAAATGTGTAGCCAAACTAAATTAAAATTAAGGGTCAAAATGTTATGTTTGGACCTAATTTACCTAGAGACTAAAACGCACCCCTAACGAGTTACAGCCCTTTAAAGTTGAGATACAAAAATAAAATACAAATCGCTGCTATACATTTGAAGACATTTTTGTATAAAAAGTTTTGGGGCCGCTGTATTCCAACAATTAAATCATTTCTATTATAAAAATTATTTAAATAAAGTGTATAAGTAAATGTTCTTTGTATGTCAGCGCTATAATTAAAGTTGACCTGATACTTGCACACTTTCAATAACAATTGTTTCCAGTAAGGGACCTTTAATATCGTCCGTTTTAATCGCGAGGCAAGGGTGGGCTGACGTGGTTAATTTGGATATGTTAATTAAAATCTAAGATTACTTCAGGCTGTCCATTACCGAAGCCATGATTTAGGACGGAATTTTTTCAACTTGACTTCTGCCAAAATTAAAGTAACCCCGGAACATGCACCCCTTTGAATAATAATTTTTTCACTTCCTTGTTTTACTAGCACAGAAATTTTGAATTAAACCATTTATTTGCATAAAGCCTTTATAAAAGGGGTTGTAATGTATTAAAGTCTAAAGTTCTTGTCTAAACCCCTATTTAAGAAGTTTTAACGTTACAAAAAGAATAAAGGGACTGCAGATTAAATACAGATAAGTCGCATGGTGGTTGCAGACATGGCTCCACTGCCATGCTATTATTTCCTTTGGCGTAAAACACAAAGAAACCTCCGAGATCTTTATTTATATTTTTGCAATCGTAATTAATCTGAATTGTCGGTCCGGTTGCCCACCACAAAAGCCTTTACAAACCAAGAGAAACAACTACTCGTGGACAATAATAATGAAATAAAACTTGAAATAAAAAAATATTAATTAAATATTCACTGATATGATAACTAAATTTTGATCCTGCGAGATATTAATATCCATAAGTACATGGAAAATTTTAAAACCACACTTTCTCTATACTTTTCTAACAATAATAGGCCAGGAAAAAGCCTGGGAAATAACCATTTCGCGACTTTTTGTTTCGGCAGGCTGAATTTACCACTATAGATGCTAAATATTATGTACAATAAGATATTAGTTTCCACAGTCATAAAAATGGGGGGAAGATTGTTTACAGGGTGGTTAATTGCATAATTTTTACGTAAATTCACGTTTTTCGCTTATAACTTTTTCCGTTCATTTCCACGAGATAACAACAATGTACTTTTTTTTCGTCTTCAAAAACCTACAAAACTCGAGCGTCAAAAAATATTGATTATATCAATAGTTATAAACAGAAGAAGTTTATTTATAACTTTTGAATTAAACATTTATAAACTGCGTTATTATTACCAGAACGTTTTGGCATCGCATCCTCTCATTCCTTATCACTGTCTAATAACTCATACTAAATCTGAAATCGATAAGTTGAATAGTTTACAAGTTATGGCCTTATAAACAAATTAACTAATTATTAGTCTGGACGATCCCGAGCATCTTCCACAATCCCACTGATTTTTTTTATTGTAGATTTCATTAGATATTCGGAAAGCTTATGAAAAGAGCTTTATTAAAAAAAATCGTCAAGATTCGTTGAAAAACAACGGAGTTACAGACTGTCAAAATTGACGGCCTATTGTTAAACAAATTAGGTTGGTATCGGCAAAAAAAGTCTGTAACTCCGTTGTTTTTCAACGAATCTTGACAATTTTTTTTAACTAAAGCTTTCCGGATATGTAATAATATATAACACCATCACGCGCGTGCGTCGTATATTTCATTTTGCAACTAAGGCTAAAAAATAAAAAAATTTCCAGGTTGCAAATTTGAAATTAAAAAAAAATAATAGATTTCAATGTATTATTATAAAATCTTTTTATAAGCGAGAAACGTAAATTTACTTAAAAATTATACAATTAACCAGCCTGTAAATAACCTTCCCCCCATTTTTATGACTGTGGAAAGTAATATGTTATTGTACATAATATTTAGCATCTATAGTGATAAATTCAGCTTGCCGAAACAAAAAGTCGCGCCCAACTCTATGTTTCCTGGCCTACAAATATTCTGGGCACTTTAAACTTCAGATAAATTAACCTACTTCTGTACTCAATGATGTCTAGCTTCGAGAAATCAACAAGTAGCAGACTGAAGATAATAATTTTAAATTTGAATAAACGGTTGATAAATGAATTACAGTAAACATTTATTTAAAAAAGTTTATTAAAACATTTACAGATTTTGAACCCTATATTAAAATAAATAATTAAATAAATTTTACATATCTCGTAAAAACTAAAGGATAAAAAAAATAAATATTTGTCGAAACTACATGGTTGTAATATTATAAATAATCTAGAGTCCATATATAATCACCATAATATATACAATTACATACGGTGATCATTTCTTTGAGCGTAACTGCCAATTCAGTCAACAGTTAAAATTAATGGCTATTACCAGTGCTTTCACTTGGCTTTTTGCTTTCAAGACTAGCTTCAGTAGCTTCCTTCTTCGACCGTTGCTTATTACTATAATATAAAGCTATACCGTTCTCTTGTAACAAACGAATGTTCGATTCATGGTCGTGGTCTCCTTCACTTATTTGCTCAACTTTATCGGTCACATTAGTATGTAATTCATTAGAAGGTTCTACAACATACTGCAATGGCGAGGAATGTTCAATCTCGGCATCGGTTACTTTCCCTACGACTGTAGGTATGGTATCATTCGTTACGAAATTTGTTTTCTCCAAACTCTTCTGGACCTGTATAATAGGCTGCCTTAAAGTCTGGCCGTTCTTCTGGGGTTGTTCTATGGCAGCTAAAATAGACTGCAGCAGTTCGTCATTTAACAGCTGATCGTGAGGGACCTGACTTTGGCCTCCATCAGCGGACTGTATCTGTAAAGTATAACTTCCTAAAGCTCCTTGTAGGTTTATATTGTTCAGATCGATGCTTTGGGACTGCAACAATTCACTGTGGGGTCCGAAACTTTTGGCTACTGTCTTTCCATAGGCTTTCCCTTCGCTTTTTTCGTTCTCAATCAAATTCGCTTTGGCTGCCGAACTAACTTTCTGACTGTGCGCGACACTCAAATCGTAACTGTCGTGACCATGTGACTGGGGCTCCGTAACTTCATAGCTTATGTCTACAGTTGGTCCAGAATTTACGTGGTGTTGTGCTCCTCCTATGTTTGTAGTGAGAGACGACAGCGAAGCGGTGTAACTATTAACAGCTGGGACACCGTAAGCTAAAGAAGGCAAAGATTGAGCCTTATGAGCACAGTCAGGTGCTTGCGAAAACCCACCTCTACCTCCATTATTCTGGGTTAAGTCTATTGTCAGAGTGGGGTGAGAAAGGTCTAAACCTACGATTTCACCGCCTAAGTTTGTACCTGTATGTGAATGAGCATGAGGTAGGTCGTATGATCCATCCACCACGTTCAATGGTACATTGTAACTACTAAGTGCAGCATGCCCTCCATCAAGGTTTAAATTAAGATTTTGGTGTAGAAGGCCTGCGGATGAAGATCCTTGGGCGAAGTTTTGGAAAGAAATAGATGAATGTGAATTTGGAAGGCTGTACAAAGATGAAGGAGCAGGAGGTGTACGTTCACGTGTGGGCTTTGGTATATCTGGAACTGGTGGTGGCAAATAGGTTGCCCCAAAGCCGTGACTGCCACCTAAGTGGCTGTGATGTTTGTAACCGCCTTTGGTCGCAGTGTCGAATAGTCCTGGAGGGACAGGTTCTCTATGAACTACTGGATGTCTTGGAGGATTTATTTTCAACGCGTTTAGAGGAGGACCATGTGGCGTGTTAGTAAATAATGGCGTTCCATAGTGACCACTTGGTGGTACTCCGTACACACCACTTGGAGGGATCAAACCTCTTCCAGACCCTGATAATGATCCAGTCCCTCTATAACCATGAGATTTTTGAGAGTTGAAGGAGTGGTGAGAATTAAATGTATTGAAAGAACCGAAACCTAAGGAAGATGATCCAAGAGTTGCCAGATTATTATAAGAATGACCTGCTGCATATGGACCCGAAGAAGAATAAGAATTCAAAGGAGGAGCACTGTAGGTATCTGGAATATGTAAGTTGTATTCTACAGCGGACTGTCCATGCCCCCCTACAGAACCAGAACCGCTGGGGTAAATATCAATTCCTATGCTTTTAACAGCGTTGACATCTTGCCCTAAATCTATGTTTACCGGCCTATTCTGTGACAAGTGCTGGCCATGAACTTCTTCTCCGGAAGAACTTACTATTCCACCTGATCCTGTAACTGTATTAAGAGGAGCCCCGTATGAATCGCTAAGTCCAACCTGCTTATCACTATACGTATTTCCTATCGCGATAGATCCATAACCTGAAGTAGGTTGCTGATGGTGATCATGAACTTCCAAAGGTGGTGGTGATAAGTCTTTGTTAAATCCAAGGTCCCCCGTTCCATGGCCGTGTCCTGTTGGCGGGGCACCATAGGATGTAGTGGGTACTCTGGAAACCAATCCGGGAATTGGTTGCCAGCCGTCATATTTGATGTCTGGAGGGGTTGGTGGTGCTGGTGCGCCCGGATGAGGTGGTTTCGGATGTGATGAAGGTTGTGGAGGACCATACTGAGGTTTTGGTAGTCCCAATATGTCACCACCTGGATGACCGTATTGAGTAGATATTGCGTGTTGATTTTCAAGTCCTCCATGTCCCAAGTCGCCTGGAATAACTTGAACACTTATATCTGGCGCTCCGTACGTATTAGACACATCATGATGGTTGTTTCCAAGATTTAGGTTTGTGGAGTGAGTTTCTATGCCGACGTTTGGGACACCGTATCCAACATTTGGAACACCATAGCCAACGTTTGGTACCCCATATTGCGTAAATAGGGCATTTCCTCCGATGCTCGATTGTCCGGAGAAAGAATTTTGAGCAAATGTGTTTATATTTGAAAACAGATTGTTTTGGCCGTTACTATTAAATTTTATTTTCGACGAACTGTAATTATCTTTAAAATATCCTGTGGGTGGTCCGTATGTACTTAATGGTTTTATTTGTTTGTGAACTCCGAAGCCTCCTTTAAATGGAAATTTGGGCGGGTACTTAGACGTAAACTGTGGTTTCCTTGGAGGTCCATATTGAGGACGCGGAAGTGGTGGTGGGCCATAATTGGGTTTTGGTCCACGTGAAGGTCCTAAAAATTTCGAAGATCCCTCAAACTTTATAGAGCTTGTTGAGAAACCATTTGACGGGGGCAAATACGCAGTGCTTATAGAAGCAGTTATGGGCCCACCAAAGTTAGTGGATATTAATGGCAATCCATACGAAGATGAAGGTAAAGCAACTGGCGGCGGAATGTCTGGAGGTGGAGCAGGATAAACAATATTATTCGTCGGAGCATCCGGCACTCCATAGACAGGGACCGGCAGGTTAATATTGCTAGTCCCAGACGGCAAGTACGAATCAGTAGGCACAGGCAGTGGCGGTCCATACACGTCTCCCAGTGGAGCTTCTCGACGATTTGCTTTTTCTTCGGTGGTGGCGGATATTAGATCTGTGTCTTTGGAGGAACCTGATTTGGTACCATCGACGTTTTCTGAACTACTTATTTTCGATTCTTCTACTTTTGAAGTCTGACCACTATTTACAACAGCAGCAACTTGTTGCGACGCCAGAGACGCGCATAGAAAAGCAACAATTATCTGAAAATAATAAGCACAGTTTTAGTATTAAATAATTATCAATATGCATGTTATTTTGCACTTGTGCAGGTACCTACATCATGTTGCATAAACGTATGTTTTTCAGCATACAGTGTGGAATATTATTTTGGAGACAATTGAGTATGTCAGTCAAATGGGTTTGATGTTACTTAGAAATGTTATAATATAATTAAAATTTATATGGGATAGGATATGGAAAATATTCCCTGGGCATTTTTAACTCTTAATTTTAATATTTAATCGCTCTATATGCAGATAGGACTTATTCCCTCGAGTTTTAATTAACTTCAGCAGTTAATTACAAATAATGTACATAAACCATGTACGAACGCATGCATTTTATGCAAATACATAAATATATACAGTTAAAGATTACCGCGTAATGTAGATATTTACATTTTACTATTTTCCTTTATAATATGTATATTTAGTGTAATATTGTCCTATTTACTTCATACATACGTACACATGAAAGTAATAAATAAATAAAGTTTAATTTTACAAGGAAAATCGAAAAAATTCACAATCTGCTTTAATTTCATACGCATAAAATTTTTAAACGCGTATTCATGTTAATAATAAAAACATGTATATATTACTACTGCAAGTTATAAGTATTAGATTACTGTTACGTAATTTGCAAATACATAGCTTCTGCTTTTTGTGGAATAAATTTGCGATAAGGTGAAATGGATTTGTGGAACACCAGTGGAAAGTTTATTTGTCTAACTTACATGTCACAAAATACCAATTTCTTTTCAAGTAGCTATTTTTTATTCGTATCTAATAATCTAACATCGATTAGAAAAGGAAAGTTGTCTTCGATAAGAGCGTTATCTTTCCCATTGTTGTTTGGCAACCTTTCACTTGTTATTATTAATTAAATTGCCGTACTATCTATTTTTGTCACCAGTTTGTTTTATTTATGAACTAAATACAATTATACAGGGCGTCTCGGAAAACAGTGTTCATATAGCAACCACAGTTTCCTCAACCCAAAATAGTTAACTTTAAGTTAACTTACCCATAGTCCAAAAGTTTTTTTTTTAATGTTACAGTGTGTTGGGAACCGAATCTATCTTATTCAAATTTGCTATTAGCATTAAAAGCATTAAAAATTATCTTGGCCCCTCTTTTTGAAAAGATTTCCGCGCCTATGGAGGTTTTCATTAGAACAACTAGATTAGAATATCAAATCAGTTATCTCTTAAAATTACTAGGTTTTGGGTAAAAGGAGAGGATGAAATTTGCTGCTACGAAGAAAATAGAAGGTTAGTCGATATTTGGACGAACTTTTTTTGATTTTTTAAAGACATGAATAGTTTTTGAGGTCCTCTGCATGAATTCTTGTACACGCAAAAAAAAATTCTTGTTTCAAATGTACAACATTCGATATTAAGGTATCGCACGTGTTATATACCCAAGAAAATATTTTCTTCTTTCAAGAAGATTATTTATTTAAATACTTTAAATTTCTACCCAGAAATATAATTTCATACTTTAAAAATAGCATTTAAAATAAATATTTGATACGGTTAATCGAATTCTATTCTTAATTTTATGATCTATATAGATTTTATAGAAACATGTTTTGTATTGTATACTAATGTATCGTTTGTTTAATACATACATACATTTGTCTTAAATAATTCCTACATTAATACTAAATTTTAAGTATAATATATATTTTAAGGAACTGGTAGTTTTAAAACAAATATGTTTACAGTTTATGATGAACTGTAAGACATATTGTAGCTAAGGTCCGAGATAAAAAATTTCAAAACTATAAAATACTTTAATTAAATTATATATATTTACAAATAATATAAAATAGTTTGACGAAAGTATATACATTTGGATAAAATAAAATAACATTTACGGCAAATAATTCCATTTAAAACTATCTGCTCATTTGATCCAAATACTTTTTCTCAGTGTACTTAAAGCGAGGAGGTATTCCCTAACAATCGATTCAGTTCTTTAAAGGAATAGAAAAGTTCAAATAAACTTGCGAAAATCTAAATACGGTCAATTCGGTATTTTAAACCTTTTTTTTCATAGTAGCAAACAGAATGTTCCCTTTTTACCCGAAATCTAGTAACTTTGAGAAAAATTGACATTTTTTGTGTGGAATGGATGGAAAATTTAGAAGTTGATTTTCCAAAACAATTGGACAGGAGAAATCTTTTCCAAAGAATCAACTTCATCTCTCCCCCCCCCCCTCTGCGCCCTCTCTCCCCACTCCCTCCCTCCGTACACCATAGACTGAAACATGTATCATATGCTGGTTGTCAGACTTTGCCACGTTGTAACTTTAAGGTGAGTTAACTTAAATTCAATTGTTTCTACTTGAGGAATATATGGTTGCTGTATGACTGTGTTTTCTGTGACATCCTGTATACAAAACTATTTAAATTATTTTTTTTTCAGTAAGTTAATTTTCTTTTTTTTAAATCTTTTATATTATTTACATAAAAATGATTCGTGGGAATAAATAAAATAGTTTTAATGTATAAGTTCAACAATCTTCCTCTGTGTACAGATTTTAACCATTTCGCTTATAATTTGCGGTTACTTTTGAAATCAGTGACAAGCTTAATACAAATAAAACTTTTCCCAAAACGGAATGACACATTTATCGAGATTCTAATTGGTAACTTTTTTTAGTACTCCGTAACGAAATAACTAACTGACCAAATTATTTCTCTTTTGAAGAGCGAACCGCACTATTATCCGGTCAAGGTTATAATTTTCCAGATAATAATACTATGGCTATGAGTTACTTTTTCTGCGAATATTTATTTTCATAAGAAACCACAACGTAATTATCAAGGAATATTATTTTGACGCGCAATTGAAAAATATCAGTATACATCACCTTCCTCGCACAATTTTCTGAACAAATTAATTAAGAGGATATGTAGGCATATGGTTAATTTCGTTTTTATTACAAGCTTTTATATACCTGCGAACTGCCCGTTGGTTTTATTGTGTATAAAATACGCCCAAATTTAATTTCCGTCAAATAAAGAATTAATGTTTCGTGAGCTTCTTTGTTTGCGTGTTTACAAACACGACAAACTTATTTAATTTGATTGACAAGAAATTAATACCAGTAATTATCCAGTTTGACAGATTTTGTTGATATACTTATTAATTTCTCTTACGTACGTTTAGCCTAGTTACGATTTCATAGTAATAATTAGACTTTATACAAAGAAGCAACTTTTACCACTAGCGTTCATGAATTATCTGCCCCCTAGTTCGGATAACGATAAAATTGCAGTTATTAAATTTTGCTTACTCGAACAATAGTAATGGTCGGTTTAAATGCATTATATTTTTAAGTTTTTACTGTCAATACAACCGAACCATTAACAGACGCATCCAGTTGAATACAATACACACTTGACGTGCACTTAACGGCGTAGGATGTAACTAATATGCAGAAATCCACTTAGCAGATAAAAATATGCAGAAACTGCAAGAACTATGAAAGCAACCCCTGTACAACTATTCATGATTTTATATTTTTTAAGAAAATAATCTGTCTAGCAGTTATTTCGTTGACGTTCGAATATTAATAAGTGCATTTCGGTGGTTTTATTGGATACGTTTTGATTTGCAGAAAAATATTCGGAACCTAATTAAATGGGACATCTGGCCTTAAGAGGATAGGGACGAACCGTTCGATCGAGTTGGTAGCTTTTGACCGTACAAGACTACATTCCCTACGGATTTTTAAAAAAATAAAGTATTTAAACTCCGTCAAACTTATCTTTCTCGAGAACGCCGACGGAACTTAGAAAATAATTTCGTTTGTGCTTTTAATCATTGCAATTCTTGGTCTTAAATATTTGAAAGGTGTACAAAAACAGCATGGGCGTCCCTGGATATTTTCCAAGGGCGGCAAATGTAAATACAAGCAACAAAACGGATTTATGAAAATAGTTGTGATTTCTGATTAGATGGTAAAGGATCCCTCTTTTCTTTGCATGTTGAGGAGAAAAGTCGCCTCGCATTCCAATCCTCCTCCCTCCCCCTCATCGCCAATGGAAAAAGCGACTTTTCCACAAAAAACCTACCTATTTTGAAGAAAGGATAAAATTTTTAGAACTTATTAGCAAAATGTAGCTATGTTTTAAATCTAATTTAAAATTGATACAAAAAATGCAATAACTCAATTTTTCCACTTATTTCCTTTTATATTGGTTATAATGTTTGAAACTTCTTTCTATTAAAGTGATTTTAAACAATATAATCAATACAAAAACATAATTTTTCTATTTTTGCCTAACTTTCGAATTGTGTTTATTTTTTATTGTTTTGTCATTAATATCCTGAACGTTTTAAAAAACTTTTTTTTATTATTTTTTAAACTAATCCTAAATTAAGGGAAAAAAATCAAGAACTCGATTTTTCTGCTTATTTCCTGCTTTTATGTAGTTAGTTGTAATGTTTGAAAGTTATTTCTTTTAAAGGGAATTTAAACAATATTTTCAGTACAGAATCACAATTTAAAGAATGTTTTTCTATTTTTGCCAACTTTCGAAATGTGTTTATTTTTTTTTGTTTTGTCATTGATATCCTGCACGTTGTTAAAAAGTTCTTGTTTATTATTTTTTTAATCTAATCCAAAATTAAGAAAAAAATCCAAGACCTCAATTTTTCTGTTTATTTCCTGCTTTTATGTAATTAGTTACAATGTTGGAAACTTCTTTATTTCTTTTAAAGTGAATTTAAACAATATATTCACTAAACACAATTTAAAAAATGTTTTTTCTATTTTTGCCAACCTTTCGAATTGTGTGTTTATTTTTTATTGTTTTGTCATTAATATCCTGCACGTTTTTAAAAGGGTTCTACTTTATTATTTTTTAATATAATCCAAAATTGAGAAAATAAATCCAAAAACTCAATTTTTTTGCTTATTTCTTTTCATGTTGGTTATAATGTTTGAAACTTCTTTCTATTAAAGTGATTTTAAACAATATATTTCAATACAAAATCACAATTTAAAGAATTTTTTCAATTTTTGCCACTTTCGAATTGTGTTTATTTTTTATTGTTTTATCATTAATATCCTGAACGTTTTTAAAAAGTAATTTTTTTATTATTTTTTTAATCTAATCCAAAATTAAGAAAAAAAATTCAAGAACTCGATTTTTCTGCTTATTTCCTGCTTGTATGTAGTTAGTTGTAATGTTTGAAACTTATTTCTTTTAAAGTGAATTTAAATAATATTTTTATTACAGAATCACAATTTAAAGATTTTTTTCTATTTTTGCTAAACTTTCGAATTGTGTTTATTTTTTATTGTTTTGTCATTAATATCCTGCACGTTTTTAGAAAGTTCTTATTTATTATTTTTTTAATCTAATCCAAAATTAAGAAAAAAAATCCAAGAACTCAATGTTTCTGCTTGTTTCCTGCTTTTATCTAGTTAGTTATAATATTTGAAACTTCTTTCTTTCTTTTAAAGTGAATTTAAACAATATATTCCTTACAGAATCACAATTTAAAGAAGTTTTTTCTATTTTTGCCAAACTTTCGGATTGTGTGTTTACTTTTTAACGTTTTGTCATCAATATCCTGCACGTTTTTAAAAAGTTCTTCCAAAATTAATAGAAAAAAATCCAAGAACTCAATTTTTCTGCTAGCTTTTATGTAGTTAGTTATAATGTTAGAAACTTCTTTCTTTTAAAGTGAATTTAAATAATATATTCATTACAGAATAACAATTTAAAGAAATTTTTCCTATGTTTGCCAAACTTTCGAATTGTGTGTATTTTTTATTGTTATTTTATTATTTTTTTAATCTAATCCAAAATTAATAAAAGAAATCCAATAACTCAATTTTTCTGCTTATTTCCTGTTTTATGCAATTGGTGATAATGTTTGAAACTTCTTTCTTTTAAACTGAATTTAGAAGATTTTCTTCGGTTTTTGCCAAACTTTCGAATCATGTGTTTGTTTATTAACGCTTTGCTTATCAATATTCTGCACGTTTTTGTGAAGCCAGTCCTAAAAAATCCTTCCAGCACACTCATAAACGCACAAGAGCACTGTCACAGTCACAAAAGCACAGCCCCTTCCCAAAAAAATAAATGCTAACCAACCTGTTGTGACCACATGGCTTTATCCAAAAAAAGATCACGTGTTACACTAAAAAAATACTAACACTACATCTATGCCAAGTGAGTACGTTGGCTGATTTTTCAAAATAACACGTTGTCCGCGAAGAGAATCGTTATATAGATTCAGTTTACAATTTACTTCGACGAGATGAATCCCCCCTTTTCGACAAAGCTGAACGGGTAAAGCTTAGGAGGAAGGTTAAGAGTCAGATAGTACTAAGCGGACATGAGAGAGAAAGTAGGATAATGAAAGTAGCCATACCCAGTTATAATAAGTATCACAACACACTGATGTGTCCATAAATTACGATAAGGCTTCAAATTTTACATAGGTATCGATTTAAATGTCCGAAACCTTTTTTTTCAGTTCGCTGCTTTGAATCTAGACGGCACAAGTGACCGTGCTGGATGTAATAAGGAGTTTACTGGATGTTTATGATAACCGTGGTCGCCAGACTGGAACAGATCCGATGATATAATTCTAATGTGTTACTTATTATTTCTCAAGCTCATTTATTTGTTGTCGGATCTGGTAACAGCTTGCTATTTACATTCGCTGATTTTACTTTGTTTATTATGGAAATATTACTCTATTCCCACTCATGTTTCAACCTCAACTAGGTACAAGCTCATTAGTCTCATAAAAAACCTGTTTTAGTAAGTGTACGCAACGTACATGTTTTTTTTTCATTTCTGCCCAATTTAATAAAAAAAAAACACATTTATACAGGGTCATCCAAAAGTCCCGGTACGGCAGAAAAACCTTGAAGGTCATTATCAAAGTCATGGTCATTACCAGATTTGGACGTATAACTTCCTGCTCTTTCCAAATCCGCAATAAAAAATTGGGGTTTCCATTTGAAAAACTTAACTTGACCTTCAAATTACTTTGAAGGTCAACGTCAAGGTCAAATCCAAGGTCACCAGCAGACAGCCAGGGAAAAATCCTTACACTTTTGTCTGAAACATTCTTTCCCAAAATGTCGTACCGGGACTTTTGGATAACCCTGTATAACCATTATTTTTGGACATAAAAAATAATGCTAAATACAAAATTTACATTAAGTTCGTGTCAGAGAAACAATTGAACGTTACAAAAATATTGAAATAAGAACACTTGGAATATCCTCTTTTTAACTAAACCATAAAAACTGTGATCTCCATTTAATATACAGTGTAGGAAAGTACCGATGGTCTATCTGAAGTTACGTGAGAGCGATAAAGTAAGCAATAGAAATCCATGCGATAGAGAAGGATGGCTATAATGAAGGCCTCTCATAATCACCGCCCGTTTCGCCCTTCCACAAATAAGATCCACTTCTTATTTGTTTAAGGGCGAAATGAGTGTTGACTATTAGACGCCTTCATTATAGCCATCCTTGTCTATCATATGGATTTCTATGGCTTACTTTATCGCTCTCACGTAACTTCTGATGGACCATCGGTACTTTCCTACACTGTAGTTATAAAAAAATTAAGCCCCACTGGATTCTGCGAGAATATAATATAAAGCATCGAAATTTCAAAATTAGTAATGTTTTAAACCGAAAATTTCTCTCAAAAAATTAACTAACGTTCTCGAAAAACCCATCTTTCTGTCCTTAATAATATTCTAGCTGAGAAAAATCTTGCTTGAAACTAGGAGACTTTACTTTTTTGGAAATATAAAATATTTATCTATTACATTTAGTATACAGGGTGTCCCAGAATATGTGGAATTTATACAATTTATACAGGGGAACATCTTTTAAAATACTTTGAATAATTTAATTATTTTTTAATACGATGGACAACAGATAAGACTCCTTACAAATTGACCCATGAAAACAATTTGGCTTATTTGGTTTGCCAGGGACGGACTAGCTATATCACAACAGTGTCAATTTTTTTTAAACCCTTTACGATAAAGGCACAAAAACAATATTTTTGAAAGCTTAAACCTTAAACTAAAAAAAAAAGGCACTCTTAGTTGATATCGATAAAATTAACTGTTTTCGAGAAAAAACTATTTTTGTTTAATATGATTTTTATTATATCCGTAAAGAGAAATAAACCGATGAAATTTGCATTCTTTCTGTGCCTATCTAAAAAATTCCCCTTTTTGTTTTTTCCTAAAAATAATTAAATTACGCAAAGTATTTTAAAAGTTATTTAAAAAAATCGATGTTCAGGGGCGTCCTTTAGAGGCCTGTATCTTCGTAAGGGGGCCCACGATGGAAATTTTTTTTAGGAACTTATCATGATATTTTAACGTCCCCTGTATAAATCCAAGAGATTGCCCACATATTCTGGGACACCCTGTATATCATTACTTTTTTTAAATTTTGTTGCAATACAACTAATTGATATAATTGTGAAAATGAACCTTTTATTTTCATTTTCAGTAAGTATTAAATCAGTGATTAAAGTCCAAACACCCAGAAAATAAATTTATTCGCTAAAATAATCTACACAACCGCGAACAGTCAATGAAACTTGTAGAGTAGAACAACATCAGCCATCACTGTACATGCGTAATATCTGGTGCGAGTCTGCATTATTATGGATAAAATAGAATTATATTCTCAATTTACCTGATTAGTTAACAGGGTCTTAATCAAAACTGAAAGTACTACTTACACCTGTATATTATTTCGATTTCATTACTTGCAATGCCTAGGAAAATTGTAATTTCCTACGCCTATGACTTTAACTGTAAAAATGTTCCACAGTTTTTAAATTAATAAAATTCTTCGAAATTGTTTTTGCTCGATTAAGAAAGAATGTAACGAAGAGGTCAAAAAAATTAGGTTGAATATTCATATACCACATTTTTTACATGTTTTTCTCGATAAAAACAGCCTGTTAACTTGTTGGTAGATATAAAATTTCTTTCCCGCAGTTCAGTACGAGATGTAAATTTAAATGGCAACAACTCGAACCAGCAGATAGTCTGGCAATGAACTTTCTTTTAATATTGCACGAAGTTTACGAGTAGTAAGTAAAAGTACTATCGTCAAAACCGTTGGGCAATCTGGTGCAAAAAGTTTACAGAGAGAGGTGTGTGCCCCTCAAAACAGATTTCTCGATAGAGTAAATGAAAGGAAGGAAGCAAGGCGTGTGGATTTTATTGCTCTTACAATAAACAATAAGAATTCCTGCGGCTAGTAATTTTTTTACCCATCTGTATGAATTCTTTTACCACACCTCGGTCTTCATTTTTTATATGCGTTAACACACCTAAAAAATTAATGCATACAGGTTAAAATTTAAATTGTAACAAGGTATAACAAAAATGTAAGAACTTTTATACAGTGTAGAAAAAGATTAATAATAGACCAGGGCGGACCTGTTTTGAGGTTTAGTGATTGGTGCTTTAAAATTATAATTTGTGAAAAAAACTAAATTGCAAATTGATAAGTGTAATCTAATTGTTTAAAAATAAAAAGAAGAGTGTTAACTTTAGAAACTGTGCAACATTTTGAAAATTCGAAAATTTTGCGAAAACTATTAAACCGATTTTAATGAAATTTGGTGTGTTGTTTTATTATACTCTAAAGTTACAATGCCCTCGGAGCAATTAAAATATTTTAAAAAATTATCCAAGAAACTTGATTATTTTGCCTTTTTTCATCAATTATTGATATTCTGCAACATCGGTAATAAATTTAAACATTTTTAACTTATATAGTAGTATATTGTACAAAATTCAATTCTATAACTTTTTTTCCTCTTCAATATTCTTCCAAAATGCATAGGTTTAAAGATATAAGTAAAAAACTCAGACAAAATAGGTATTTTTTAAAATTTTTTAAACATTTTTGCAATTTTGAAAATGTTTCTGACCTCACCCAGATCTAGGGATCTACACTTTTATTATGTGAGTTGTACTGAAGGTATTCCAGCAAAAATTAGCTTGCCCCCTCTTACATTCAAGAAGTGGGATATTTCGACAGATCGCCCTGGTCTATAGAGTAGGTATGTAAGTCTGTCAATAATAATAATAATATCTCTACTCCTCATTCTAATTACGAAAATTAGCCCAGAAGTCGGAGACTTGTGCGGGAGAGAAGGCGGCATATTATTATTACGCAGGCCGCATTTGCGCCCAGGAACGACTTATGTTGGTATGCCCTAACCACCATTCAATGCAGGAATGAGGAAACCTGGAAAACCCCATTAATTAGGGGGGTGGTCAAATGCCAACCGGTGTCAATCTCTCATATTGACCCAAGCCAACATTCTTCCACCCTACCAATACCTGCACAGAGGGCGCCAATCCTCCGTACAAGTGTAGATATTCTACGGTCACCGGCCGCGGGATTCGAAACCCGGGCAGTTCGACACATCGATTTAAGTACTGACGCCTTAAACCGTGCGGCTATCGACCTAATGGCTCAACAAAATTGAAAATATTGCAGAAAAGTTCAATTTTTATTTACTAATTGACCCGTTTTAGCGATTTTTGCATTTACATTCGATATTTGATCTAATACTCAAAATATTATTTTAAAATGTTTTCTCAAAGTATTTTCAAATTGTTGCTTTTTATTATAAAGCTCTTCCTCGCTATTTTAGGAGGTATTTTAACATTTTACTAAAAAATACCCTGGTGGACGTTTTTTGAGATACGGATTCGGATTCAGCATCAAAAATACACAAGATCTATGTACTTTGATTGTCAGGGGCTGTATAATTCTTGTCAACGTCCATCCTAAAACATCTGGCTTACGAGATGGAAGAAATATTTTGGGGATTTTCTATTATTATATCCTGTACAAAGTGAAGTGGACTGAACAATTCATAAAAATAAAAAGAAATTTCGTGACTCACGTCGTACGTAACGAGTTGCTGTGTAAAATTTCCCGTTTTCTAAAGTTACGTAAGGTCGTGAACAGTATCGCATTATTTCAAAAAGGATCCGGGTTTGAATAGCGATAGTCCCACGTCGCACTTGTCGAAGAAATTGGAAATTAGAAACTTAAAGTACAAGAATATGTAAATCGTTAATTTCTACAACTAAATCGTTTTAAATATGTGGTACTTGAACCACTCGCCCAGCTCAATTAAGTTTCTTCCGACATTGCTAGAA